TCTATGGCCGAACAAAAGCTCCGTAATATGATTATCAGTCCCACCTATTTGTTTTACATCTCTAAGAGGATAAGGTTAACCATATCAAAACAGAACAGAACATTTAAAAAAAAATAAAAAACAATTTAAAGAAATACAGATTTCAAAGCAAGTCCACTGGAGATCTACCTTATCTAACTGTCTCTAGCTTCTTACAAATAGTTGTCCCTAACTTCACCCACTTTCTATACTTATTGCATATTATAGAACTAATCAAATCATTACAGGATGATGGAGTCTTTTTAGGTCCTCAAGTTCCAAATTAGGGAAGACAATAGCAACTACCATCGCATCTCTCATTCTCTTTGAGATAGCCGTCCCCATCTCTGCATATGCTGAAGTTGAGCTGAAGAAACCAGTCCAGAGTCATTTTAATCAGCAAGCAATAGATTGCTAGAATTTATATTATAATGCTACAAAATAAGCCTCGGGTTTTTCAGGTCTCTTCCTCAGAGTATTTGTTCCTATCCTCTCTGTATTATAGGGAAAACCAAGTCATAACAAGACAGTGAAACAATTTCCTAGATAAACATGCAATGGATAAGACTTATAAAACTATAATATAAATGATCTTCCGTAGCTACTATGTTTTCTCTTGTTATTTTCAATAGATTTGTCGACAACACTGGCTTATTATAGTTAAACATACTATCACCTATTTTTATAAAGACTTATCTTTGACTGCATTGTAGTATTTGAGAGCTGTTACTGATTCATACCAGTATGGATATCCTTTACATCTTGTCATGCTCAGAGTAGTTTCCTCTACTTTTAGGGTCGATTCTAACACGCATACCGATTTCAAATAGGATCAGTCAAGGCCAACCAATAGTCTTATGATTCAGATACAATTAAGATCAGTCATAGTAAGACAATGTAAGTAATACAGGATTTCACCTAAGTCGATAGGAAAGTAAGGATAGTTACCATGGTATAACCTGCTATTTTTGGTTCTAGAGGTCTGTGTCCTCAAATCTGATATGAATGGACAGACCAGAACAAATTTAATTCAATCTAAATATGGCACTAGGACTACTGTGTCTTTTAAATCGTTATACACCATTAGCAATGACCTCTGCTTTTTTTTTTAAATATAGTTTCAGAGCTGTCTCTACTAAAGACTAGCTTACCGTCTCTGCCTCATGTCTGCTACTCCACTTTTCTGCTATAATTTGTCTACCTTATTCCCTCATTCCATGGTCTGCCCCGTTCACTGAGGCCTCTCTGCCACTGTAGCTGTAATCCTGATATCTCTTCCTCTCTTTCTCTGTAATGTCCTTCAGCGCTCTCTGTAGGGTTGGATTGGTGGCCACGAACTCCCACAGTTCCTCCTTGTCTTGAAAGTATCTTATTTCTTCATTAATTTTTAGAGAGAGTTTTGACGGATATATGAACTTAGGTTGCATATTTTTTTCTTTCAGGACTTGGAATATTTCTCCCCACTCCCTTCTTGACTTAAGAGTTTGTGTTGATAAGTCTGCTGTTATTTTGATAGATTTCCCGTTATAGGTAACCTGCATCCTTTCTCTGGCTGCTTTTAATATTCTGTTTTTTTGGTGGATTTCTGGGATCTCGATTATTATATGCCTAGGCGTAGATCTGTTTTGGTTGTAGGTAGCTGGCGTTCTGTATGCTTCTTTTATCTGGATATCATTTCTTTTTGCTATACGTGGGAAAGTTTGCTTTAATATCTCTGTGAATATTTTTTGTATTTCATTTTTGGATGTTCCTGCTTCCTCACTCACATTCTTTATCCTTAGGTTATGTATCTTTTTATCATCTTCCAGTTTTAGAATTGCTTCTTTCTGGTTCCTTGTTATTTTTAAGAGGCTTTTTCTTTCACGTTCATAAGCCCTAAATCTCTCTTCAAGTTTCAGAAGGTTGTCTTTAGTTTCTGTCAAGGCATTTTGCCAATATTCAATGGAGTTCTGAGTTTCCTGATATTCTCTTTGGATCTGTTTCATGTATTCTAAGTTATGCTTAAATTCTTCAGATGCTTCTCTTTCTTTTCTGATTTCCTCAGTTCTTCCATCTATGTTCTCTTGGGCGGGGCTTGTCATTTCTTTAATTAATCTCTTTATATCTTGCCTCACTTGGATCAGGAGTACATCTTTAAATTCCTCTATGAGATCATGTAAGTACTTTTTAATTTCGGCTGATGCTGTGTCGAGTAGAGGGTGGTTACTGTGTTTGTTCTCTTCAGTGTTTAGTTCTCTTGGGTTTAATTTCTCCTGTTGAACAGCTGGAGATTTTTTTTTATTTTTATCTCTTGTCATGTTTCTGGTTTCTTTCAGACTGTCCTGGAGTTCTCTGGCCCTCTCCAAATTGCTTAGGGCCTTTCAGGAGCATGCTGGCTTGAGTTTTTGCTGTCCTCCCCAATTTGCTGTTATCTGGGGTAGGCTGGGATGCAGGGGCGGTACAGTTTAGTCTCTAGCCTCTGTGTCAGTTAGTTCATAAATAAGGCTGTACTTTCTGGTTGTCACTGAGTTGTGACTATTTTGTATCTGCTTATTGGGCCCCAAGCAGAGGCTTGGTTTAGCCCCAGTAGCTCCTGCCAGTTCTCTTTGAATCAGAAGCAGCTGAGTAATGGCACAGGATTCTGCCCAGGTCCCAGCCGTTCTCTTCCAAACCTCTCTGTGATAGGAGCACCAGAAAAGCAGATCTGCCCAAAACCAAGATGGCTCCCACTAAGTTCTCTGTGTGGAGCTGAAGCCAGCAAGTAATCAGGCTCTGCCAGGACTCAAGATGTCTTCCACCAGCCCTCCCTACAGGGGGACCTGGTGATGTCACCAAGCTGCGGTTTCTGCCGCCAGGCTAATATGTCTGCACCAGACTCTGTGTTATTGATTTCCCCGTGGTGGCGGGCCAGCTGTTCTCTGGCCAAACCCAGCAGCCGCGGGGTTTTCTGTACTCACCAGAGTCTGGTGCAAGTCCTCGTTCCGGGACCGCCGCACACCAAGCTATCCACTTTTCCCCCACTCGTGGCTCAGCGCTGACCGGTCAGATTTTTGTGCACCGTTTAGATTTGAAACGCCAGAGCTTTGTACATCTGCTCTGGTGCAGCGGTGCAGAACTGGCTGCTACTTGGAGTCTCGATCTGGGTCTCAGTTTCCCGCAGTCCCCAAAAGCAACTCAGCTTTTCGTGTTGGGTCCACGAGTCTGTTTGTTGATTTAAGGGCGCGGGATTTGCAGCCTCTGGTCTCAGCAGGACTTTAAATCCTCCAGCTGTACTGTCTTGGTTAATAAGAATCGCTGCGATTTGTCTGGTCCTCTCCATGCTGTCTTTTTTTTAGCTTTGAGTTTGAATTCTCTGGAGAGACTCTTCGCTCGATCCCCTAGCTCGCCGCCATTTTCACAATCCGAAGCCTCCCTTTCTATGAAAATCATCTTCCTCCACTCTCACCTCCACACATAGCCTTTTAACCCCTTCTCCCTGCCCCCTTACTTCTAGATATAAAAGCAGTATCATTAAAATCCACTTTTCTTTTCTTTCCTTTTAATCTCCCTGTTTTGTTCCATTTTTTCTTCTTCTTTCAGTTTCTATCTTCCTGGCTGTTAAGGTTTGTGTTCAGATGGCCCCTGCAAACCTGATACAGTGATGGAGGCAGCTGAATCTGGCATTTGCGATTGGTTTGTTGTGTAGCACTGGGGATTTGTGGTGTGTGTGTTGCACTCACCTAGGGCAGGGAGCTGGCATGCAATGTAAGGAAAGGGAAGAAGGTATGCTTTTCTCTCTTTTTATCCTTTTGCTCTTGCTGATTGTGGCCACCATGAACAGCTGCCCCTCAGCTATGCCATCCTGCCTTGGAGCTAGCTGAGTATGGCCTGAGACTTCCAAAACCTGTAAGCTAAATAAATCTTTCTTTCCTTCATTTTGAGTATCAGGTATTTTGTCTCAACAGTTAGAGAAAAGTAACCAAGCAACTGGCTTTTCTCTATTAGTACTGACCCTCAAGAAGACACTTCTTGAGTTACTGAAAGCATTGAGGCCAGAACTTTGGGCAGGAGGTTATTTTCTTCTGCTTGTCTATAATTTTAAAGTATTTGCACAACAAATTTGCATAATTTTTGACAAAAGGAAGCATGAAATGTAATGATATGGTTTGCCTGTACTCAATTCATTTATGCTAAACATTGAGGCAGTTAAAGTTTTGGAAAATTTACAAATTCTCTTGCCAAACTCTGAATGACAAATTTGTATTTCTAATAATTTTTAGTGTGAATCTGAGTGCACTTCTGATTTGCATGTCAAGTTTCTTGTCTGTAAATCTGGGGGAAACAAGTAGAAACTATATTGTAGTGTCATGTGGTGGCAATTGACTCCATATATATATATAAAATAGTTTTACCATCTTCTATAAAGTCAATCTTATAAACTTATTGGATTCATTATCATTACAATAATTATAACAGTTCAAAGAAGAAAAATGATACTTTCAATAGATATATTGATGAAGATTTAATTTCCTGAAAAATTTAAATAAATAGCTCTGTAAAAGAAGAATATACTTAAAATAGTGGGAAAAATTAAAAAAGAGCACACATTCCTCTTTGATGTAACCACCATGCTTGCTGTGTGTCCTCTGATGCCAAACAGCTAAGTCAGGGACTAAAAGCACACACGTGTGTGTTCTTTTCCAAGAAGTCTGGTGACAGAGCCATGGCTGCAGGTTTGCAGAAGGTTTTGAGAGGGTCTGAAGCGGGACAGAAGGAGATGGAGTACCCTGGGATGGCACAGTCACACAACTGCTATACCCTTCAAAAGAACAGGATTTTATTTCCTGAAGAAATACCTCCAATGCTGTCTTGATTCAGTACAACAAATATTCCTTTTCTCCAATCCAATGAGACTTTCAATGTTTTTCATCATCATATCCACAGGTTTTCAGCTGTCTTCAGTCATGCAGGATCATCTTTGGTCTTTGTTTCAGTTTCTGCAACCAAGATGGGAAGTTCTACTTTCACAGAGCGCGCATCTTCCCCAGAAGTCTCCACACAGCTGCTTGGATCTCCTTGTTTCTAAGGCTATAGATGATGGGATTCAGGCAGGGAGGCAAAACTGTATAAGCCAGAGCAACCACCAGGTCTTGGGTGGAGGAAGTTTCTGCCACTGGTCCCAAGGCAGCAAAGAGCCCCGAAGTCAGGAAGAGCAGGGTGACAGTGAGCTGTGGGGAGCAGGTGGACAAGGCCTTGGCTCGGCTCTCCACAGATGGCAGCCTGAGCACGGTCGAGAAAATGTGGAAGTAGGAGACGACTATAAGCACGAAGCATCCCAGCACCAGGCATGAGCTCAAAGCCAGAGTCACGAATTCGGTGAAGAAAACCTCACAGGAAAGCAGGGCCATCACATGAGGGATATCGCAGAAGAACTGGTGGATGGTATTGGACCGCGAAACTGGCTCCCTGAACATGTTGCTGGTGTGGACCGAGCCGTAGGTAAAGCAGCTCAGCCAGACCATGGCTGCTATCTGCTGGCATTTGCCTGGTGTCATCACAATGCCATACAGGAGTGGATGGCAGATGGCCAGGTAGCGGTCATACGACATGACAGTGAGGAAGGCCAGCTCGGCAGAGGCAAAGGTGAAGAAAAAGTAGACTTGGGCCATGCAGCCAAGGTAAGAGATGGAGGTGTTGTGGGTCAGGGAGCTGTGGATCGACTTAGGCACCGTGATGGAGATGTAGCCCAAGTCCAGCAAGGAGAGATTTTTCAGGAAGAAGTACATGGGCGCATGCAGATGCAGATCGACAGTGACTGCCATCACAATGAGCAGGTTCCCCGCCAGTGCTGTCAGGTAAACCAGCAGGAACAGTCCTGCGTGCAGCAGCTGCAGCTCCTGAACATTGGAAAAGCCCAGGAGCAGGAACTCTGTCACCATGGTGAGGTTGTCCCTGTGGCAAGGAAGTCTGGGCCCTGATGGTGAGGAAATGTGTGACAGTTTGAAATGAGGTCATGAAATATGAACACGGGAAACAATATTCTCTTATATTAAATGAAGTACACACTACTTATGCAGAAGGGTGGTGATGGATGACATTTTTAGCATGAAAAATTCTAAAATATGACCAAGATGAAAACTGAATAGCACATTTCCAAAACCCTTTCATTAGTACTCTTCATGTACCATGCAGCACTTCTTGAACATGAAAATTAAGATTCTTCCCATTAGGTCTGGCATTATGGTGCACACCTGTGATCCAGACACTGGGCGCTAAGATAGGAGTCTGGGAAACTTAAAGACCCTCATACCTCACAACAAAGGAAAAACAATACAAGACAAAAGAATCCAGGGATATAGCTCCATGTGAAGGCCCTAAGCTTAGGCTTGATCCCCAGTGTTGTAGTCAGGGTTTGCAAAGGAAACAATTTAACACAGGACACATAATTTATAGGACTATTTTATCATAGTCGCCCAAACAGTCAAATGCAAAAGAGCACAGGACCACATTCTAAAGACACAAGGAATCCAGCTGAGGGCCCAGATCCCATTGCAACTTCCCACATGAGTCCAGCTGAAGACCTGGAGCCCTTGAAGTACCCTCCATGTGTCCAAGTGGAGGCAGACACATTCAGTACCAGAAAACAAAGACAAGAAAACAAAAACAAAAATCAAAAAGAATTTGCTGGTCAAATAATCTAGAGCAAGGTCTTGGCCAAGGCGACTTCAAGAGCCTGAGCCTGAGCTGGCATGGACGCCGGGGTGAGCTGTGTGTGTGTGTGTGTGTGTGTGTGTGTGTGTGTGCGTGTGTGCACATGTGTGTGCTGTGAACCCTGTGCCTGTTACTGTTCACTTGTGGGGAGTCATCTAGACCCATGACTGTGTGAAAATGAAGGAATACTTCTCTATGCTACTCAGACTATTACACGTGCCTTTTCTCAACAGTGTTGATTGTATATTTAAAATACATGTGTTTCTATGAAATTCCTCTGCGGGCTTTGCTGTCTGCAAGACTCCAAAACAATCTATGAAGCTGTTTTAAATGAGGGCCAATTTTTTGGGAGTCATTTTAAAATCAGGTTACTGACTTAATCAAGTTTATTTGGTCAGGTTTATTAAGTCAAGTTTATTTGGTCACCTTGTTCTATTAGTGATTGACTCTAGCAAGCCCCTAGCTGCCTTGCTTAATGGGCAAATGGCAGAAGTTATCATTATTTACAAAACAGGAAGACCCTATGGCTTATGAAAAATTTCAAAGGTAGTGTTTCCAAAGAACATAAATAGGGTGGTCTAAACTTTGCATGGTGTCCTTAATTAAGCGAAAAGAATCACACCATCATACTCAGGTGCTGAGTAACAAATATGTGTATTATAGGTAACAAAGGACTACTATCTTTCATGAAGAACAACTGTAAAACATAATGTAAAAGAAAAATGTGAGTAAAAAATATGGCCAAGCATTTCATGAAACCAAAAACCTAATGACCAAATACCAACTCAAAAATAGATCCAAAAGTCAATCATGGTGGTGCATGCTTGTAATGCCAGCACTTGAGAGGTTGAGGCAGGATAATTGCAGTAAGTTTGAGGCCAGCTTGGACTACACAGAGGAACCTTGTCTCAAAAAATAATCCAGTCTTACTTATACAAATGAAAATGAAAAAATTTAATTAGGTGACTGTTTTGTGCTCACTACTTTAGAGACTATATTATGTAATATGAAATATTGTCACATAAAATATGTATATTTGCTATGTCATGCCTTGACAAGGAGGTGAAGAAATGAAACTCCTTTCTTACTGCTGTTGGGTGTGGCATATCATTTGGCATTAGGTAACACTACTGGAGATGTGAAGGTTTTGGTGATGCAATACCATAGTGAACAGATACATACTAAAGGTTTTAAACAATGACATATTTAAGTAGTTTTTCATCAGCATTTTTAAACCTCTAACTTATACTAGTAGGAGAAAAGATTATTTACTCCATGTCAACCCAGAATGGAACACTCAGTAGCAGTTACACAAGGTATGACAGCCTACACATATCAATATAAAAAGTTCAACATATTTGAGAAGAGGAAATAAGCTTCAAAGAACTACATAAAATATTTTTCTATGGATTTTCTTTTGATTGTGATTATGGATTTTATTTTGGTACTGGAAATCGAACTCAAGACCTCGCACTTGCCAGGCAGACATTTGCCACTGAGCTCTGTCCTCAACCAGAATGTGTTTCTAATCATATGAGTGTGAATATTCAGACTACAGTACGTTATGTGAACATACATATACATAAAATAAAAGCAGTTATGGGAGGGATATACAGTAGCAGTTAATGTACATGGAGTTGTAAACTAATGTGATGGAGATAAGGTGAAAAAATATTAATTATATCTGCAACCTTTTAATATTCAAAAAGCATTAAAACCAGCACAAATATGAATAAGCAGTAAAATGTGGTACTGGTAATTAACAACCACTTGTTATGCTCAAAATCTATTGATTCTGGACATTTCATATTTTTAATATGCAAACTGATATCAAAGAAAGAAGTAGTAAGTCGAGTTCCTCAAGTTAATAAAACAAAGTATGCCTCATGGTAAGAGTGATGGGATTGGAAGAAACCTGAGTCGTAGTTGAGCTGTTTTAACTGGGGAAAGCTATGAAGAAATCTTAATCTCAATTACTTTAAATGTAAAATAGTATTAAGTAAGATGGGCTCTGCTGCCCCACCATCTCTGAAACCATTTATGTGTGGTCTGCATGACGAGACCATGTGGCCCCGTCCAAGTAGATGAAGCCCCACGAGATGCTCTCCACTCCACCCCTACCTAGGAACAGAGAGGAAATCTGGGAACCAAATCGTTACATCTCTCACCATGAGCTGTTTCCTCCTTAGTTCCATGATAAAAATAGATCGTTACAAAACTGACAAGAACCCAAATTTTTTGCTGAGTTTGTTTGGGTCTGTCATTAAAAAATGAAACCGTTACTGAGAATATCATCAAATCTCCTTACTCAAACATCTATCTTAATTTTTTTCTCATAGAGTTTAAAACTATTGCCAACAGAAGCCATGTGTATATAAATTAAGTTCCCTTATTGCATAAAAGTCTGAGAAATATAAGAACAACAATACCTTGGTAAAAGAACATGTAGCTTCTCAGTGTATCCTCGCTTTTTGAAGCAATGATGCGAAAGGAATTAGGATGCCTCTCTCTGTTTCACTGGGAGTCGTGACTGACTCAGTGTGTGAACTCAGTCATGGTGAAGGCTGCTGTGCAGTGTTTCAAGGAGAGACTTCTCTTCTAGTTTCCCAGCGAGAGGTGTCCTGGAATTGGGAGTGGACTGGTTTTCAGAGAGCATCCCGGGAGACACTGGCCTCAGGTGAGTGCAGATCTCTAGATAAATGTCGTCTCACCTATGAGACAGAAGTCAGGGAATGAAGCATGTGGGAACTGAATTCAAAGTCCATGGGGAAGTGGGGAGCAGTAGGACTCAGATTCTAAGGAAGACAGTGAAGAAATGTCAACAGTGAAAAGAAAAACGTTGAAGGATTTACATTTTCATAAAAAATCTTTGATTAAATAAAAATCTAGACCTTAAATAAGCTAAAAAAGAAACAGCTACTTTACTTCTTTCTTATGCCTCCCCATGTCCAGTTTACTCTACAGGTACAACAGCCCATTCCCACACTGTACCTGCAGTCCAGAAAAGTCTGGTCTTTTTTTTTTTTTTTTTTTTTTTTTGTCTTTTTCATTTTTATCGGTACCAGGGATTGAACTCATGACTGCCTGCTTGAAGGCAGGCGCTTATGCCGCTGAGCTAAATCCCCAGCCCCGAAAAGTCTGGTCTTAATAAAGACACTACAGTGTTTCTTATCTTGTCCTAAACCCATCTTTCCCCAAATAGATGTATGTTTCATGATAATAAATCAAGATGAGATTTGAATAATGTATCTCAGCAAATGTGATAACTTGGAAATTTGAAGTCTTTAGAACAATTTATCAGAAGGTTATGGGATGTATCTTTTATTTCTTTTCTCAGATGAGTAGAAAATAAGTGGTAAAAGAAAAATATGAGACAAAATAAATCTTTGGAGTTTACTGCACGAAAGGATAGTTTAGGAGATGGACATACTCAGAGCCAGAAGAGGTTCAGAGATCTCTGCCTCCTGTCTGGATCAGGAGCTTTTGTAGCTCAGAGGATCCAGAAGAGCAGTCGCTGAGTGTCCAAGGTGGGCACACGGAGGTGTGGTCTTACAGGGCATTTCCTTCAATTGGCTGCTCGTGATCGCCTTTATCCCTGTGCCTCTCTATTGCCTGAAACTTGGGGCTTTTCAGCTTTTTTTTTTTTTTTTTTGGTCTTTTTCGTTTTTATCGGTGCCAGGGATCGAACTCACGACAGCACACTTGCAAGGAAGGCGCTTATGCCGCTGAGCTAAATCCCCAGCCCCGCTTTTCAACACTTTTAAATTAGATTTTTAATTTGTTTACATACTAAGTTAGACTGCTACTTGGAAGGTGATGTGGAGAAGATTTAAATTAACAATAATTCTTCCCTTTTGTCAACCTCTCTATTTAGAGAAATTGATCAAAATCTTGTGTGTTGATGTCACTTTTTGTCACCATCATGGTGATTTACTTGGTGTCATTATAGAATTTACCAGGAATGTTATTGGGCCAGCTGAAGAGCTCTTTGTGTTCATGTTGACCTAGTCCAAGGAAACAGTTTCATAAGGGGTGAACGTCTGCACAGAGGTACTTAGACGTGAAGACATGCTGTGCACCAAGGGGACAGTTATGTCGGGTGACTTGCAGACGGTAAGGCTAAGGGCAAAGAGACAGAATGGGACTTTTTAATATTAGGGCATTGCAAATATAATTAATATAAGTCCACATCAAAATGATAGTACACAGCTTCATCTGTAGTTAGGTGCTTTGAACATTGT